CTCCCGCTGTAAGCCTGTCTGACAGCACGGGTGCCTTGGTGCTTGGGTTCAGGCTCACGAGGCAGCCTGCTTTACTTGCTGACTCTGGCAACCCTATTCCACCTGGCTCACCGGGCACAGCTGGCACAGTGGGCTCACCTGGCACAGCAGACTCACCGGGCACAGCTGGCACAGCGGGCTCACCGGGCACAGCGGGCTCACCTGACACAGCAGGCTCACCGGGCACAGCTGGCACAGTGGGCTCACCTGACACAGCAGGCTCACCGGGCACAGCTGGCACAGTGGGCTCACCTGACACAGCAGGCTCACCGGGCACAGCAGGCACAGTGGGCTCACCGGGCACAGCTGGCTCACCGGGCACAGCAGGCACAGTGGGCTCACCGGGCACAGCTGGCTCACCTGACACAGCAGGCTCACCGGGCACAGGTGGGACAGCTGGCACAGCGGGCTCACCGGGCACAGGTGGGACAGCTGGCACAGCGGGCTCACCGGGCACAGCTGGCACAGCGGGCTCACCTGACACAGCAGGCTCACCGGGCACAGCAGGCTCACCGGGCACAGCGGGCTCGGGGTGAATGAGAAAACGCACTCCGGGCCCTGGCTCCTGTCCGGTGCACAGCGCCCTCTCGGCAAGCGGTGGCGGGGAAGCTAACACGGGCCCATTGGAACGGTGTCAGGCTCTGGGCGTGGCGCCTGCATGTGCAGTCCGTCCACCAGGGCTCACAGGGCCCGCTCGGTGCCCAGCGGCTGGGAAACCGCAGACAGAGGCCCTGCCTCGGTGGGGAGGGGGGGGGTAGGTGGGGGCTGGGGTCCCACCACCCACCGCCTGCGATGGCCCCTTCCTGCCCCTCACCGTCCCGCCTGCTGACCGCAGGTCCCGATGAAATGTCACTTTTGGGGGAGGCCTAACCTCCCCAGGTCGCGCCTGAGCCGCACTCTCCACGGCCAGTCTAGAACCTTCTAGTCACTGTCCTAGCGGCCACCGCTCCCTGCGGTGGGCACTGTCTGCTCACACCAGGACTCAGCGGGGGCACCGGACACATCTGTGGGGCGAGCAGACCCCAGTGGAGCGTGTCCCGCCCCTGCCCCCACGCGGCCGCCTCGGCCCTGCCGCCCACCGTGAAGTGCAGCCGGCTCTCCGTCTCCAGCAGCACGTCCAGACGCAGGGTGAGGATGTCCTTGGGGAAGAAGGTCGGGGCGGCGCGGGTCAGGCTGGCCGTGTAGCCCGTGTCCGTGGCGGTCAGATTCTCCAGCCGGTAGCTTGGGTAGCTGGGTGGGAAGAAGCACCAGGGCGGCCCCATCCGGGAGCCCCTGGGCCGCCCCACGGGCGCGTAGCAGCAGCCCCGGGCCTCACACTCTCCCTGGGTGATGGCCTTGTCCGGGGCGCAGTCGAAGCGGCTGTTGGGAGGCACGTCGCACTGTGTGGGTGCTGCTCCCGGGCGGGACTGGGGCCCCGGGCTGTGGGCTCCCTGCTGGCAAGCTCGGTACGTCTCCGTGGGCGCCTGGGCGCAGCCACACAGCCCTCGGGGAGCCACTGCCAACTGGTGGAGCAGGATGTGCCCCAGGAGGGCGGCGGCGGCCAAGGAGAGGAGGGCGCAGGTGCCCAGCAGGGGGCGGGCGCGGGGCGGCCACTGGGCACCCATGGCCTCCTGCCGTGGGGATGCGTCCGGGAGGTCTGTGAAGAGAGGAACCAGGCTCAACAGGGAAGTGAGCAGCTGGGGCCTCGGGGCTCCCCAAGCAGCCTGCACAGACGTGAACTTGTGCGGGCGGGCTGGCCGGGCCAGGGCGGAGGTGAGGTCAGCCGAGGAGGCGGCAGGTGAGGATGGATGAGCTCGCCCGGTGCAGTGCAGACAGATGGGGGGGGGGGGGGGCAGGGAGGAAGGGAAAGGAGAGAAAAGTCCCAAATGGTGTGTGTGTGGGGGGGGGGGGGCTGCCGAAAACCGTGAACCGTTACCCGTGAACCGCCTTGAGGTCTGCAGAAAGGATTTAATGACAAAAAAGACCCACATGACGGAGGGTCAGGTGGAAGCAGCAGGTTCCACCAGCAGACGGCTGCCTGCTTCCGCATAAACACCAAGGGTATTCAGTTGTGACCAATGGATGGGAGTGGGGTGCCCGTAGGGGGTACCCCTGCCCTCTGTCCCCTCCTGCTGACCTGCTCATTGTGGACAAAAGGGGCCACGTGCTACCCTGACAAGCGCAGGGGAGGCCTGCTAACTCAGAGACCTGAAGTCACCACAGGGATGGTCTGAAATCAAACTTGAACTAAAAGCAGTTGTGGTGGGTAGTGACCTCCTAGGCCGGTAACTTCCCTGACAAGGTCAACCTTCACCTTACTATCTTTTTTTATTTTTATTGATTTCTTACAGAGAGGAAGGGAGAGGGATAGAGAGTTAGAAACATCGATGAGAGAGAAACATCGATCAGCTGCCTCCTGCACATCTCCCACTGGGGATGTGCCCGAAACCAAGGTACATGCTCTTGACCGGAATCGAACCTGGGACCCTTGAGTCCGCAGGCCGACGCTCTATCCACTGAGCCAACCCGGCTAGGGCTACCTTTCTGTCTTTTAGCATCTACGGTAACACATCCTTAAAATGTCAGGGTAACTTGTAACTTCCTTTTTTCCAGACCCTCAGAGCACAGCCAAATGCCCCAGGCACCAGGACGGGAGACCATGAATTCCTTCACTGTTCCTGTTATCATGTTAATTGGTAAGTATTAACTATCCTGTACCCACATACTAGTGAGTAAAAGAAGCATGTGCCCATCATCTTACTTCTTATCCAATCCCAGAGGTTCCCCGCCCCCTTCGCTCTCTCCCGCCTCCCTAATCCATCACCAATGGATTTCTGTAGCCCACCTACACCACCTCCTTGGGTTGTAATGTGTAAAAATAGGTGAGAAACCGCCATTCCCCGAGCACTATCCCAATCCCGGCAACTGCCGACAGTTTGGCTCAGATGAACGCACAAACATTCTTTACAGGTTTGCGTGTTTTTACGTTAACTCATCAAGGACACAACCAAAACGGCCGGTGGAGAGGCATGGGAAGGGGCACGGAGCTTCCACGCCCGCTCCAACCAGCCACCCGCCCGGCATCAAAATGTGGTCACCAGCCTGGACGCGCCAGACGCCGAGGAGTTCCGGACGTCACTAGGTGGGCAGGGCTGGTTAGATCCCTGGCCCTGGTGACGACTCCCTCTGGGCTCCCAGAGTCGGGGATGGAAGTGGGGACCAGCTCCAAGCCGCCCCTCATCTCATTAGCATATAAAATACACTCGTTACTCCCAAAATACCAGGGTTTGGGAGTGGGAAATAGAGACTCAACATTTATTTTTGTCAAAGTGTCCCAGCTCCACCTGACCCTACCAGACACCTGACCGGCCCTTCCTGATGATGAAAACTCAGGAACCAGGGAACTCAGCCCCAGCCCCCACGGCGCAGTGGTTGAGTGTTGACCTAAGAACCAGGAGGTCGCAGTTCGATTCCCGGTCAGGGCACAGGCGCGATTGCAGGCTCCATCCCCGGTGAGGGGCCTGCAGGAGGCAGCCGATCAGTGATTCTCTCTCATCATTGATGTTTCTACCTCTCTCTCCCTCTCCCTTCCTCTCTGAAATCAATAGAAATGTATTTAAAAAAAAAAAAAAGAAAGAAAAGAAACGAAGGAAATGAGAGCTTGGAGCAGGGTCCGCGGGGGGCGCTCTGGGGCAATGCCCACCCAGGCGCAGAAGCTGCAGAGATGCGGGCCCAGCACACGCACAGGGGGGCCACACCCCTCCCGCGGCTCGCACTCCACATCGGAGAAGAGATCCCCCGACCGGGAAAGCGGGGGGAGGTGTCAGGGGGGAGGGGGGACATTGGAGACAATGGAAGCGCTGGGGCCAGGCGGTCAGAGGCGCTGCGCTCCAGGGCCCGGCCGGAGGCTCCCGGGCAGCGGGCGGGGGTCAGAGCCCAGCTCCGCCACCGGAGGGGGAGCAGGGTTCGCCTGCGCCTCAATTTCCTCCTATGGGAGGGCCGGCCGGGCACGGCGGGCCTGAATGAGCAGCGCGGTTTCCGGGGCCCCCGCGGCACTGCCGCCCCGCCGCGCGGACCCTGGCACCGCGCGCCCAGCTCCTCCAATAGGAAATCACTGACGACCGGTCGGTCAATCGACCCACGGATCCCTCCCGCTTCCGGGCGCCAGGAGTGCCCCGACCCGCCAAGCCTCTCGCCGAAGGGCTGCGAGGGAACCGCCGGGGGCCCCTGTCCGCTAGCGGCGCCCGCTCACCTCCGCGCACGCGCGCTCAGCTCCGGGCCCCGCACGCCTCTGCGCACGCGCGCCTGCCCGCAGCTGCGCCCCCAGGTCAGGTGCTGGCGGGGAGGAGGAAGATCACGTGACCGGCCGCGGCGCAGGCGCCCTGGGTGAGTGCGCGCCTCTGGCCCTGCGCCCCCTGGTGGAGGGGCGAGCCGCGCCGGTGTAGTGTTTGGCCCTCCTCCACCCCCGCACCTGCAACGCTCCGATGCCGCGACCTTGTCTTTCGGGATCAAGGACGGGGTGACCCGTGAGCACCCCCCAGCGGCTGTCGGGCTGCCTGGGAGCTTGCCAGGCCGCTCCAGGGGGCACCCTCCTGCCATTGGAGCCTAAAGAGGGCACAGCTGTTCAGCCCCGAACTGGCAGAGAGCGAGTCGTGGGCAGCACCGTTAACAGCAGCTTATTCCGTAAAGGGAAACATTGTCATGACCCGCAAAGTCGACTCCTGTGAGCACGTTAGCTCGACAAGGACGTTTCCTGCAACGAGAAGATGCTGTGTTTGGAGGAGCAAGCTCCTCGAGCGGACACAGCGCACGCGTGGTCCTGCCCGGGAGCTCTCCCCAGGGAAACCCGGGGCACCTGCGGGGCACGGGCGGTGGCGCCCCCGATTCCTTATGGGTTTTGTGTTTCTCAAATGTTTGAGAAGAAATATGCCTTCCCCCATCTTCAGGAAAAAATATTTACTTTTCTGTTGAAAAGTGTGCAAGTGAAATTCTGTAGAACCCTTCCCGTTACACTGCAGAGAGGCCGGCTAACAGGTGCTGGGGGACCGGGTGCGGGAGGAGGGCGCTCCGACCCTGGAGGCGGGACCAGTGGGCGGCCCTGGGACGGGTCTGTCTTATTTCAGCCATCGGCTCTCTGTAAGCTCGTTCTCCCTCCGGGGGAGAGTCTGGATTTAACGCTGGCTAGGAGTGGGGGAGGAGAAGGGACCCGGGTTCTCTGTGGGGTGGGAGGAGAAGCTGCCCAGGAGGAGGTGGGTGTGAGTCTGCAGATGCGCACGTGCAGAAACGGGAGCCTCCACAGCCCAGGTGGTGCTCAGGGGAGCACGTGCTCCGTCCACCTGGGAATAGGGTCTGCCTCCCGGGCGCTGCCTCTGCGAAGGGATGACCTGCCTAAACGCGGGAAGTGACTTGGTTTAAACAAGCGGGTGGCCAGAGTGTCCTGCAGCGCTGGCCTGTTCTCTCAGCGTCATTCTCTGCGGGTGGACGTGGCTCCCAGGGACACAAAAACATATGGCTCCCAGGGAATACGCAGCACCCTGGTCTCTTCCCGGCCGGCCTGGGAGGTGCGGGCAGGGCTGCGCGCTAGGAGGGACCGGGGGCGTCCAGCTGGCTGGCGATCGTCTGTCTGAGCTTGAGCAGGGCCTCCTGGAACTGGGGGTGCTCGTCCTTCACGTGGTCCAGGATGGCGCCGATGGCGGCCAGCCGGTGGTCCAGGCGCCTGCGCTCCTCCACCTGCGCCGCCTTGGTGCGGAACAGGAACACGTACCGGCCGTCCTTCACCGCCTGCAGGTGCTTGAGGCGCGTCTGCAGGGTCACCAGCTCGGAGAAGTTCTTGGGCCGGATCAGAGACGTGTGTCAGGCTGTGCAACTTAAAAGGGGACACCCACCGCCTCCTCCACAAACCCAGACTCGAGGAGATGACGAAGGACAGAGCCTTGCAAGAAAGGGACGCCTGGGGGCACTGAGCCCCCAGGGCCAGGGGAGGAGGCTGGGCGGAGCCTCCCAGAGGCAGGTGGCCGCTGGGTGCCAGGGCTGGTTCTGGGTGCCTCCCTCCATTTGCTCCCCATCTCCACTGACCAGGCCCAAGCCCCGAGTCCTGCCTGGCCCTTCTCTTCTGCTCACGCCCATCCAGCCTCGCAGGAAACCCCACTGGGACAGCTCTGAAATTATCTGCAGACCCGACGGCTGCCCACTAGCCCCATGGCGGGCCACGGCCCTGTCCGTGCATCACCGTCCTCCTTACGTACTGCGATGGCCTCACACGGGCTTCCTGTGTCCACCCTTCACCTTCCGTTACTCACTCAACCTCAGAGCCCTTGGTCCTGCCAACACATCACCCGCAGCCGCACCCAAACCCCTCCGACATCGGCCCGTCCCCTGAGAAAAGAGGCCAGAGCCGGGATCCTGCTCTCCGGAGGGGGGGCCCCCTACACGGCAGACTGGCCTGTGGCTCTGGGGGACCTGGGGCCGTCTGGAGCTCCAGCTCTACCCCCTGGTCCCTCTGCCAGGGGTGGTGGTACCCTCCCGCTTCCCCGGCCTAAAGGTGCGATCCCACCTCGCGATGTTTCTGCTTATTTTTCTCCAGAGCACCTGCGCCATCTAACACACGGGGTGCTTTCTCGGACTCCTGATTGTCTGTCCTCCCGCCCCCAGACCCGGAACCTCGGGGAGGGCGGGCTGTGGTCTTTCTGCGCCACCCGGCAGCCCTGGCTCCCGGGGCCGAGCCTGGACCGCAAAGGAGCCTGATGCGTGTGACATGCACTTGGCGGGAGGAGGCCGTGCCCACAGCCGCATGGGCTGCTGCTGCGGGGGCAGACCCCGGCCGGGTTCTCTGACGGCCCTGAGGCCCTGGGGCCCTGCGGCCTGCCTACCTGCCGCTTATGGGCCACGAGCTGCTCCAGGGTGGCGTCGAGCTCCTCGGCCTGGGCCTGCATGGTGGACAGCTGCGCCTGCTTCTCGTGCAGGGAGCTGCTCATGCGCTTTTGTCTTTCTTCCATCTCCGCGATGCTTCTGCTGGTCTCCTCGGTGGCCTGGGGGACCCGCGGGTCACCTGTCAGGCCCTGCCCAGCCCGCCCTGCACACAGTGTGAGGGATTCCCAGAGGGGGAGAGGGTAGGCCCCGCCCCTCGGAACCTGGGAGGGCGGGGCGAGTGCCGGCTAAGCCCATTGCTGAGGAGGCAGGCACGGCTTGGGCAGCCCTGGCCCATGCCACCTGCCATTCTGGCCACGCGCCAGGGGGCCCGGGGTCGGGAGGGGGGGCACGCTGGCTGTGGCCAGGCCGCCCAGCAGGCTCCCTACTTTGTGAAGGTCCCTGATCTTCCGCCGCAGCTCCAACTGCTTGTGGTGGAAGTCCGACCGGGTGAGCACCTTCTTGTCCATCTTGCGCTGGCCCTCGGCCTGGGTGGAGATGGTCTCTCTGCGGGCCACGGCCAGCTCCATGTCCCGGATCATCCGCTCCTGCTGCTTCAGCAGCTGCTTGTGCCTGAACTGGTGCACGGGGCAGAGAAGAGAATCGCGGACCGGCCGCCTCCTGCACGGCCCCCGCTGGGGGTGGAGCCGCCACCCGGGCCTACGCCCCGACAGGGAATTCAACCTCGACCTCCTGGTTCCCAGGTCGATGCTCAACACTGAGCCACACCAGCCGGCACGAGCGGCATTTTACAATATTGCGCGCAGAACGCGGAAGGACGGGACAGTGGTTGGTGAGATGCGCGTGCGGCCGTGGGTCCGTGTTGCTCCGCAGGGAGTTCAGGGAGGACGGACCGACACCCGGGCAGCGTGGGGGACAGGGCGCTGCACTTGGGCTTGGAGTGCGGGTCGCTGTGCTGGGGCTCCCGCCGACCCCGGACCCTCCACGCCCCACACCTTCATCCTGTGGATCTCCGCCTTCATGGCCCGGATCTCCTTCTGGCCCGTCTCCGAGTCCACCGAGGCCCGCATCTCCTTCGCCAGCTGGATCTTTTTCTCCCAAAGCAGGATCTGGTGTCTTTAAGAGGAGGAGCGGCCGCGTGGGAGCTGGAGGGTTCGGGAGCTTTCCTCCCGAGGCTCCCTGAGCTCCTGCTTCAGGACCCCACCCCCCCAAGGGAGCAGCCGCGGGGGGGGGGGGGGGGGGCGGGTCCGGCAGAGGTGGGCGCAGCGGGCGTGTCCAGGGCGGGTGGGCGGGCTCTGGCCTGAGGGCCCATGTCTGCGACTGCGTGCAGTTGCTATGGGAGACCCTCTGCCTCCTCTTCTAGGAAGGCCCTTGAGGGGCAGGCGGCATAAGCTGATGCCCAGGCCGGGGCGCGGGGCGTGGCTGTTACATAAGAACCAACCCCCCACCCCCCATTCTGGAACCAGCAGCCCGTGGTGCCGGCCAGCTGTCTCTGGAATCACCCAACTTGGGAGGGATTATTTATTTAAAACACATTTTTATTGATTTTAGCTAGAGGAAGGGAGAAACATCTATGATGAGAGAGAATCATGGACCAGCCGCCTCCTGCACGCCCCCTACTGGCGATTGAGCCGGCAACCTGGGCCTGTGCCCTGACCGGGAATCGAACCCGGAACCTCTTGGTTCATAGGTGGACACTCAATGTCTGAGCCACGCTGACCGGTCAACCCAGGACGCTCCCAGGGGCCCAGCGGGGCGGGCGGCAGCACTCACTCGGCCTCCACCAGGCGGTTGAGGAGCGACATCTTCTCCTGGTTCAGCTGCTCCAGCTTGTCCTGCATCTCAATGGTCTCCCTCTCTGCAGCCTGAGGGGGGGGCGGGGGGGACAGGGCTGGTGGATGCGGGGCCCAGGGCCGTGCCACCCCTCCCACCCTGCCCCAGGGGACGCGTGTGTCCACGCTGTGCCCACTACCACCCGCCCTGCCCTGGGCCCGTGGGCCCGCCCGCCGGGCGCACCTTGAGCGCGTGCAGGAACTGGCTCTCGGCGAGCAGGTTGGCCTGCTGCAGGCCCTCGGAGCTGCTGCGGTTGCGGCTCAGGAGCAGGTTGAGCTTGCGCAGGTCGTTGTCCAGGTCCTTCATGTGCCGTTCCATGTCCTTCTGCTCCCTCTTCTCCTGCTCGATCTTCTCTGTGGCGGAGGCACGCGGGCGGCTGAGCCCCCCTGTCCTCCTGGCGCCCCCCATCACGTCCCTCTGGGGCCGGGGGACAGGGGAGCGGTCCCCTCTGGCCGCTTGGTTTCCAAAGCCTGGCCCTTGGGGGACCTGGGAGGATGGGGTGGATGACCAGCAAGTGGGGGTGACGAGGGAGGGCACGCAGACTCCCGGCGGGCAGCTGCAGAGGAAGGCGCTCCTCCTGGAGCCCCGAGCCGGGCCCAGGCCTCCCGCGCGGGGCTCCAGCCCCGGGACCCGGTGTCTGTGAGATTTCAGGGGAGCGTCTATCGTGGGCGGAGGGCACTCGCATGTGACCGCTCTGGCAGCGCCCTCGACCCCAAACTTAACAAACGCAGTACATTTTCGCACCTCACCCACCACCATGACTGCAGCCCACCGCCAGTCAGGGCCACGGCTCAGAGCCACACCCTGGGCCACGTAGTGAGCATCGCTGGGGCTGCTGCAAGGCTGGCGAGAAGGCAGCGAGGCCCTCTGTGCCCCTACACCCTTCCACCCCGACGGCCCTGTCCCTCACGGGCGACCCGGGGCTGGGAGGCGACGAGGGGCTGCGGGGCAACCAGGGGCTGGGGGGAGCCCCGGGGCTGGGGGACGACCCGGGGCTGGGGGGCGACCCAGGGCTGGGGGGCGCCCCGGGCTGGCGGCACTCACTCTCGGTCCTCAGCTTCTTCTGCTCCAGGACGCGCACCTCTTTGCTGAAGAGGCTCAGGGCGGCCAGCTGCTCCTCGCGCTCCTGCGCCGCCCGCACCATGTCCTGCTGGAGGCGCAGCCAGTTCACCTGCCCCTGCGTCACCTTGGCGCCCACCTCGTCCAGCAGCTTGCTCAGCCTCTTGATCTCCAGCTCCAGCGGCCCCAGCTCTTCCCCCTGCGGGGAGACCCGCCCGCGGTCGGGGGCCTCTGGTGAGAGGCCTGCCCTCCGGGGGCGCAGGCTGGGGTGCCTCCCCGAGGCCGGCCGCGGCCCGGCGCCCACCCCGATCTCGGAGACCATCTGCTCCAGCTCCTTGTTGAGGGTGTTGATGATGCCCTGCTTGCGTTCGATGAGGATGGTGCGTCGGGTGATCTCGCTCTCGCTGTTGCCGATGAGCTCGTTGGCCTTCTGCACCTCCCTGTCCAGCTCGGCCAGCGCCTCCCGGTGCGTGTCCGCCCGGCAGTTGGTGTGGGTGATGTCCAGCGTGGCCTGGGCGATGTCGCCGTCGATCTTGGAGAGGTGTGTCACCTGCAGGACCGACGGGAGGCGCGTCGGAACCTTCGCTTTTCCTGGGAGGCTGCGGAGGGGCCCCCACCTCCTAGAGGTCGGCCCTGGTCGGGAGAAAGGGCCCCACCTCCGGGAGCGCAGGAAACCGGTTCCTCTCTGTCTCCGGGACCCTGAGGGCCTCTCACAACCAAGGAAGGCTGCATTGCTTCTCCTTAGGCCGTGGCCACACTGGGCGGAAATGTGTGCATACAGGTGAGGAGATGGCCCGTTTTCCTGCCTCAGGCAGGCCCGTCACCACCAGGAACCGTCCCTCTCCCAGTCCTTCCGTATAAATCCCTCCCCCCCCAAACAAAAGCTGTGCCCTGACCCTCCGCCAGCCCCAGGCCCTCGCTGCCCCCACAAAGCCTCCGCTCCCTCACCTTCCCCTGGCTCCTGCCCGTACCCCCCCTCCCCCCCCCCCCCCCCCCCCCCCGCGCCACGCTGCAGGCCCCCTGGGCTCCGCCCCCAGACCCCAGCTGGCTGTCCTACACGCACCCGCTGGCCAGCCACTTGAGTGCCTTTCTAGAACCCCCCCACCTCTAGGTTTTAAAGCCGGCCCTGCCCAGCTGGGACAGACGCCCCCAGCATCCCACTTCGCCACGCCCTGCCCCTGCGGTAACCCTCGGGCCCTCTGAGCCCGTCCCTTTCTTTACCCCTGATATCGCCAGGTCACCCCGGGGTCTTCTCAGGGCCCTGCCTTCCTCTCTCCGCTGCCCCCCGCCCCCCCCCCACGACCGTACAGCCCGCCCTCCCCCTCCCCCCCCCCCCCCCCCCGGCTGTATTTGTTGAGACGCCCTGGCCTCCTGGGACGTCAGTACGGCTCCTGCGTGACCTGTCTAGACGGCACCGTAGACACTTCCCACCTTCCCCCCAGCTCCAGGGGAAGGCGCCCATTCACAGTCCGGGTCACCATCCCAGACAGGCCCCACCCGCCCGCCCAGCTGGCCAGTTTGGGAAGACTCTTTACTGCCCTCTTCTGGACACGGACGGTACTAATGCTCGAGTTTCCTGGGCAGCGGGGGACAGGGTAGGTCTGGGGGCCCGGAGACCCGGGGACTGGCCTTGGAGGTCTGAAGCAGGGCCGGCAGGTTACTTCACACCCACCACACTCCTTAGCTTCTCCAGGGCACCTACTTAGCTCCCAGCTGGTGGTCTTGCTCCCAATTGCCAGAAAATGGACTGGCGGGACTTCCGGGATGTCAGCCAGGACCTCCCAAAGAGATGCAGTGCTCCCAGCCCCGTGTCCCGCTTCCTGGGGACAGCCGCCTCCTCCCCGTGTCCAGGACGGTGAGCAGGCCACCAGGGAGACAGCAGCCGGGTGAGCCGCCAGCTGGGTGGCGGGTCACCTTAGCTCGGCTGGGCCTCCTGACCGCACCCACCAAGACAGAGTGACGACGGCTGACATTTGGGGAGCACCGCCTCTGGTCCCCCCCAGGCATTACCCACATTTTAATAAACAGTTAGACCTAGACCAGCGGGTAGAGTGTCGGCCCGCGGACTGAAATAGAAACATCAATGATGAGAGAGAATCATGGACCTGCTGCCTCCTGCACGCCCCACAGGGGATCGAGCCCACAACACGGGCCTGTGCCCTGACCGGGAATCAAACTGTGACCTCCTGGTTCCTAGGCTGAACCCCACCGGCCGGACATAAAAAGTAACCTTCCTGAATAGGAAAGGTGTATTAAGAAGATGGGTTAGGATGGACTTAAAAACGGACGTGTAGTGAGCCCGAGGTGAAGGTGTGAGTACCTGTGTGCACCCACGTTTACCTGTGTCCACGAGTGTGTCTGCTCGTGTGTGCACGGGGATGTGGACACGAGTGTTTCCGTGTCTTCGTGTGCCTGTGTTTACTTCGTTGCACATGTATGAGCACGTGTGTTTAGAAAGGTTTCCAGCAGGAACTATGCCAGCCTCCTAGGAGGCTCACCCCTGGCGGCAGATGGCAGCTGCCTAGTCTCCGCTCACTGCCCTGTGGGTGCCCCGGCTTTCCACAACCAAACGCCTGGGATCCAGCCCGCCATCCAGGCTCGTGCCCTTGACCCACGTCGAACCCGGGACCCTTCAGTCCTCAGGTTGATGCTCTATCTGCTGAGCCACCCCGGCCGGGCACAAAATCATGGCTTTTACAGCTGGAGAATGTGATCCGTGAACAGACACCCCCGGGCCCCTGCCCACTCGGGTTCTGCGGTCTGTGGCCTGGCGGGTCCCCGGGCGCCCCCTGGAGGCCGCGGTGGGAGGCGGCGGGTGGCGCACCAGGTTGGTCTTCTGCTTCTGCAGCTTGTGGAGCAGCTGGTGGAAGTACTTGGTCATCTTGTTCGAGGTCGTCTGCTCCTGCAGCTTCCGCACGATGGCCGTGTCCAGGTCCCGCCGCAGGTCCAGCTCCTGCCGGATGGACTGGTGGACCGCCACCAGCTCGGCCCTGATCTCCTTGTGCTCCTGGGGAGGGGGGGGCAGTGAGGGCGGTGGTGGGGGGGAGGCCACGGGGGCGCCCCGCTGTGCGTGGGGGGAGGGGGCGGCGTACCCCGCGCACGGTGCTCAGCTGGCCCTCCGTGTCCTGCAGCACCAGCTGGTAGGTGCTGAGCTGGCTCTGCAGCGCCTCCTGCCGCGCCAGGCACTGCGCCGTGAGCTTCTGCAGCAGGCGGCCCTCGGCCTCGGCGCGGCGCAGCACGCGGGCCAGCGTCTCGTTCCGCTCCTCCTCCTGCACGATGGAGCGCTTGTAGGCCTCCACCTCGCCGTCCGCCGCCTTCAGCTGGTGCTGGCACTCGCTGCGCGGGCCGCGGAGCCGGGTCAGCCCCGAGCGGACGGCAGAGCCCGGCCAGCGCCCGCCCCGCGGCCCCGCCCGGAGGGACCCTCCTAGTAGCAGCCGGGGCTGTCGTCCGGATGCACCGATGGAGCCATCACCCGTTCCCAGGCCCAGGCTAAGCTCTCTGGGTGCTGCCCCGCGGCGCAGTGGTTGAGCGCTGACCTATGAACCCGGAGGGCACGGTTCCATTCCTGGGTTGTGGGCTCGATCCCCAGTAGGGGGCGTGCAGGAGGCAGCTGATCCATGATTCTCTCTCATCACTGATGTTTCTATCTCTCCCGCTCCCTCTCTGACATCAATAAAAAAAAAAGTTTAAAAATACTTTGTAATACTTTAAGCAATAAAACAATAAAAAAAAACGCTTTACACCTAAAATAAATAAATAAATAAATACTCTTTCAAGGTTGTGATTATGGTGGGGGCTGGGGGAGGGGAAGCTAGCAGACTGAGGAGGCCATCGGTCTGTCTCCCGTAGCCATGACGATACTCCTGGACCGGGATAGGAATAGCTGGGGCACAGGCTATGGGAGGCCCGGGGGACATGGGGTTACGGCCTGGAGGCACCGGGCATTGGGCAACGGGGAGGCCAGGGAGGGGCCCTCTGACCCGGCGGTTTGTCCCCTGGGTAGCGAGTCTTTCCTGGGCACCTGGTCCCTGCCAGGCTCCGAGCCGGCCCGGGAGTGGAGACCCGGTTAGCGCTAAGCAGGTGAGGGACGTGCCACCAGGTGTCCCTTCTGAGTCGCCTCAGCGGGGGTGGGGGGGTGGGGGGGGGTTGGGGATTAGGCGGCACTGTGCCTGGAGCCTCCAGCACCTGGCCGTGGACACCCCACCGGCTGGGAGTGACAGCGGGGACCGCGGGGGCCTCTGCCTCCCCCTCAGGCGGGATTGCGCTGGAACGCGGCGGCAGGACAGCCCTGAAGGGTGGAGTGCCCACACAGGTGGCGAGGCTTCGAATCAAAGGGCCGCCTTCTCTCCCGCAGAAAACGCCCCTTTCTCTCCCCTCCGTTTCTCCTTCATCCTCCCAGGAAACCCGAGGATGAAAGCTGCTGCCCGGGGCCGCAGGGAGTTTGAAAGGACAAAGAAACGTTGGAATCTCTGTGAACAATCTGAGCTTTCAGGGCGGAAGCGGGGCTGCAGGTGCCTCCTGTGTCCCAAGAGGCGGCTCACCTGAACCGGGGCCCGCCACCTCCCCAGTCCCCACTTCTCACATGCCCACTGCTCTGTGATCACTCGGCCTGGCCCGCCTGGCGTCCTGAGCCTGGCTCCCTCCGCCCTGAGCTCACCATGTGCCCTGATCCCGGCTCCCTCCGCCTTGAGCTCACCTGGCACCCTGAGCCTGGCTCCCTCCGCCCTGGGCCCGCCTGGCACCCTGAGCCCAGCTCCCTCCACCCTGGGCCCGCCTGGCACCCTGAGCCCGACTCCCTCCACCGTGGGCCTACCTGGCGCCCTGAGCCCAGCTCCCCCGGCCCTGGGCCCACCTGGCACCCTGATCCCGGCTCCCTCCACCCTGGGCCCACCTGGCGCCCTGAGCCCAGCTCCCCCTGCCCTGGGCCCGCCTGGCACCCTGAACCCGGCTCTCTCCACCCTGAGTTCACCTGGCGCCCTGAGCCCGGCTCCCCCTGCCCTGGGCCTCCTGGCACCCAGAGCCCGGCTCCCCCCGACCCTGGGGGGCAGCGCAGGGAGAGGCCGGCAGCTGTACCTGAGCACCTCCTGGATGGTCCTGTGAGCCTCGTCGCGGCGCTTCATGCCCACCAGGCAGACGGCCCACTGCTGCAGGATGAGCTTCTTCTCCATCCTGATGGTGTCGATCTCCGCGCAGGCCTGGGCGGGAGGCGGGGCAGGGCTGGCTGCTGGGCTCCAGGCCCCGGGAAGCGCGGGCCCGGGCCTTCCCCAGGCTGCCCTCCCCTGTCGGCCTTGCTCCTCTTGGTCACAACGTTAAACTTGGCTCTGCAGACGCGCCGGACCCCGGCGGAGCCTCTCCTCCACCCCGTGGGCCGGAGGCCGGGGAAGGAAGAGGCGGAGGGCCGCCAGCACTGATGGGCACCGGGCCGGCCAGACCCCACACGTGGGCGTGGCCACGATGCCCGGGCGCGGGCTGAGATGCCAGACCTCGCCTGAACTCAGTCTTTAAATTCAGTCTTTAAATATTTTAAACACTCTCATTTGTAAAACATAAGAAAGGTGTTCATTCTTGCACAAGTAAGCAGAAGGAACACAAAACTACCCATCATGCCCCGCTTGGAGGTTATCATTTCTACACACTGGTGCCACCTCCCTGTGTGTGTGTGTGTGTGTGTGTGTGTGTGTGTGTGTGTGATCATGTTCTACATGTTGCTTTGTAACTTAGTATTAAAAAGTAGCGTCTGGCCTGGCCAGTGTGGCTCAGGGGTTGAGCATCGACCTACGACCCAGGAGGTCAGGGTTTGATTCCTGGTCAAGGGCACTTGCAGGCTTGATCCCCAGTGGGGGGCATGCAGGAGGCAGCCGATCCATGATTCTCTCTCATCATGGATGTTTCTCTCTCTCCCTCTCCCTCCTCTCTGAAATCAATAAAAAAATACATTTTTTAAAAAGTCATAGCAGCTTTGGTTTCTAGCGTTGACCACCGAATTTGGGGCTGCCCGGGCCCCTCCCTCCCTCCCTCCCTCCCTCACTTCCTGCACCCGGAGTGGAGATGCGGGCAAGAGGGAGGCTCCAGCCCTCCCCGCGGGGCCGCCCGGTGGCCAGGGAGCTGGCTGAGGGTCTGCCCAGCTAGCGGAGCACAGTGTCCCGCTGCCTGGGGGCCTCGGCCGCTCGGGCTACGGGGGAATGACTCTACCGGCCACCAGGCACTCGGTACCTACTCGTCCCCACCTGGGTCAGCCGGATGCTCGGAGCTGCTGCCGGGGACCCGCCGCCCAGTCACTCGTTGGACAGGCACGTGGGTGCCGCACGGTGGTGCTGCGGGTGCCTCTGGGCTGAGGGCGTGGGGTCCCTCTTACCTCGCTCACGGCTTTCCGGAGCATCTGGGTCTCCTCCGCCTGGGCCCCTGACTGGGCCTCGAACAGGGCGATCTGTTCCTCCAGCTCATGGGCCCGGGTGGTGAGCTGGTCCACGTGCAGGTCCTGGGAAACGAGACCCCTGGCGGCTCTCAGGCACCGCCCCCCGACCCCTGACCCGAGGGGGTGACCCCAAGGCTGGCCAGGGCCTCTCGGGGCTGCCGGCGCCCCAGCACACCGGGAGGTGGGGGAGAGCCTGCGCCGGGACTGCGGGTACCTGCTGCTTCTTGTCCCGCTCGGCCCGCGCCCGCTCCGCCTCCGACTTCTTCACGACCTGCTTCATCACGTGGATGTCGTCCCGCATGTCCTGGTCGATGTTCTGCATGTAGAACAGGTTCAGCGCCAGGTGCTCCATCTCGGTCTGCAACGCGGCCACTGCAGAGGGAGCAGGCCCGGCCGCACGTCACCCGCTGCCCTGCCCTCCGCCATCTGCCCGCTCCGCCCTCGGCTGCTCTCCTGGCACGCTCGTCTCCTACTGACTGGCTGCTAACAGCTCTTTGTGGACGAGCAGGCAGCGTGGGCAGAATTTGTCAGTGGCTCCCATACCTCCGGCCCCGGTGTTACCCCTGTGGCATGGCCCCTCAGGTGGCAGAAGGGAAACAGCAGTGGGCCCAGCGGCAGGGAGAGCAGGCACCGCAGGGCTGAGCCGGTGGCGCCGCCAGGCAAGGCCCCGCTGAGGCACAAGGCGCCGAGCAGGAGAGGGCGGCCGGTGCAGGGAGCCGGTGGCTCTGGCCCAGACAGGCCGGGGGGGGGGGGGGGGGGGGCGGCTGTTCCCCACACGGCTCCCACCGCAGCCGCAGGCGCACAGGGCAGGTCCCGAGGGCGTTCCCACGTGCCATCGCAGGGCATGGAGAAGGGGCGCCCTCCAGGGGACCCACCTTTAGGAAAAGGGGGCACAAATGTCTGGAAAGGCAGCTGCCTACCAGGACCCAGCAAGCTCGGCAGCTCCCACGTTGGGCGCACAGGGGCCAAGGGGAGGAGGGGCTGCGCTGAGGGCTCGGGGACACGATGGCAGGGGGCGCCCTTGGGGACGCGATGGCACACGGAGAGGCCTGCAGGCTGCGGGGGCCGGGGCTCTTACGCTTCTTGCGCTCGGCGTTGGCGGCCTCGCAGGTGCGGGTGTAGAGCAGGCGCATGCGCTGCAGCTCCTCCTCTGTCTGCTGCCGGGCGCACGTGGCCAGGGAGTAGCGGTCGTGGCACTTCTCCAGCTGCACCTGCAGGGCCGCCATGTGCTGCTGCACCCCGTACAGGTCCACGCCCAGCTCCTGCCGCTGCGCTTGGCTTTGCTTGGAAGCCACGCCCTGTGGCCGGAGAGAAGGCGGATCAGGGGGACGGGTGGGGATGGGGGGATGTGGGCACACAGCCAGGGGGGGATGGGGGGGATGTGGGCACACAGCCAGGGGGGTGGGGGTACGTGGGCACACAGCCGGGGGGGATGGGGGGATGTGGGCACACAGCCGGGGGGGATGGGGGGGATGTGGGCACACAGCCAGGGGGGGATGGGGGGATGTGGGCACACAGCCAGGGGTGGGGAGGGGGCGGTGCACGAACCAGCTCCAGCAGCTCCAGCTGCAGCTTCTCCACCTGCCGGTTCAGGTAGCTGTTCAGCGCGGCCTGGAACCTTAGCATCAGGGGCTACAGCAACGGCAAAGCACCGGGTTAGTGTCCCGTCCCCTCCGGCCTCACAGTTGTTCTCTGGGGGGCGGGGCGGGGATGGGGGCAGAAATGGCTTCGACCCTCCGTGCGCTCACTTCTGCCACCACACGGTCAGGCCCTCGAGTCTAGTTCCAGGCACTGAAGCCCGAGTTCGTGTTTTGGCAAAAGGACAGGGCGGGCAGGTGGTGGTCCTGGCACCACTGCCAGGCCGAGGGCGGCCGGCGCCCAATGGGCACTTGGCCCTTCCCAGGCAGCCGCCACCTGCCTGCGGGCGAGCACAGGGCTGTCCCGCGGGCTCACCCCTCGGGTGGCCGTCCCTGCCTGCCCAAGGCGCCCCCCTGGACCCCCTGCCCCCGAATGCCCGGTCCCTGAGGCCGGCAGGGCCAGGCCGGTTTGGGGAATATGAGCCTCTGAGAACAGGCTTCACCAAGCCGCGGCCAACGCCTGCCGAGCCCCGTTCAGTGAGCAGGTGGCGTGGGCGCGGCGCGGGGCCCGTGTGGCCGTGGAGGCGGGGGGGCGGGGCGGGGGGGGGAGGCCGCCGTGCAGGCGAAGGGGCAGCTCTGAGCCCGGAAGGTGCTCCCTCCTTACGTGGTTGGGGTCCAAGACCACCAGGTGGGACACGTCCTCGTCCGGCTCGTCGCTGCCCTCCGACCCCGGCGGCTCTGCGACCCCCTCCTCGGAGAGGCTGAGGTGCTGGATCCTGTCCAGGAAGGAGGGCGGGGGCCCGGGCCTGGGGTGCTGCCGGGACGCCGGGGCGGCCATGCCTGCGGGACAGCGAGCACCGAGGAGTTAACAGAGTCACTGCCAGGCCTCGGGCCACGTGAGGGGAAGAGAGGGACGCTCCCATAGGACTGGGGCAGAGGTCTATTTTGTTTTCTCATTGATTTCCTAGAGGAAGGGAGAGACATCAATGATGAGACAGAGCCATGGACCGGCTGCCTCTGCACGCCCCCCGCTGGGGATCAGGCCAGCAGCCGGGCGTGTGGCCTTGGTACGTTACTGAAAGCCTCCGGGTCTTTGTAAGGACCGAGCGAGGGGAGGCGTCCGTGCTCCGTACACGCTGTCCCTCCCGGTTAGTAATATCTTTATCTCTAGACGCACAGCCGCGCAGGAAATGAGGTCACGGGCGGGGCGTCCCTGGCCCACAAGGGGCTGGGCAGTGGCTCAGCCCGGGCGCAGGGCCCTGGTACCTGGCTCCGGGGCCAAGGACTCCTCTGAGGTCAGGGACAGCTCGTCCGAGGATGGGATCCGGCCCCTCGAGCTCGGCCGCAGGGGGTGCGGTGGGCCCCGCTGGAGCTCCTCATCAGACTCTGTCTGCAGCAAGAGCAGCCAAGTCTGAGCCCACGGGGCTTGGTCAGGGCTGAGAATTGGGTTCCACTCATTCCAGGGCTCACAAGTCAACATAATCTTTAAGGAACAGAAACTCGTTTGGACATAAAGATCAAGTGCCTTGCCCGGCCGGCGTGGCTCAGTGGTTGAGCATCAACCTATGAATCAGGAGGTCAGGGTTTGATTCCTGGTCAGGGCACATGCTCAGGTTGTGGGCTCCATCCCCAGTAGGGGGTGTGCAGGAGGCAGCCGGTCTATGATTCTCTCTCATCATGGAGGTTTCTTTCTCTCTCTCTCCCTCTCCCTTCCTCTCTGAAATCAAGCCTACATAATAAAGGGATAATATGCAAATTGACCATCACGCCATCACATAAGATGGCTGCCCCCATGTGGCCACAAGATGGCCGGCAGGGGAGGGCAGTTATGGGCAATCAGGCCAGCAGGGGAGGGAAGTTGGGGGCAACCAGCCCTTCAGGGGAGGGCAGTTGGGGGGTGAAATTGGACTGGCAGTGGAGGGCAGTTGTGGGCAATTGGGCCAGCAGAGGAGTGCAGTTGGGGGCCATTGGGCCAGCAGGAGAGCAGTTAGGCATCCATCAGGCTGGCAGGGGAGTGGTTAGGGGGTGATCAGGCTGGCAGGCAGAAGCGATTAGGGGCAATCAGGCAGGCAGGCAGGCAAGAGGTTGGGAGCCAGCAGTCCCAGATTGTGAGAGGGATCCCAGATTGGAGAGGGTGAAGGCTGGGCTGAGGGATCCCCCCTCCCAGTGCATGAATTTTGTGCACCGGGCCTCTAGTAAAATATATTTAAGAAAAAAAATCACGTGCCTTTTGCAAATGGTCAAAATGGAAACCGTCTACCCCATCCCCCTGGACGGGCTGCTCAGAGACCAGCAACCGGGATGCCTCACCAGTGACCCCCACCTTGGCATTCAGAGCCCCGCCTTTGCTGAGCCATGTCTAACAGGATTGCCATTGGTACTTGATGTGCACCCCAAGCTCCTCATGCTGGGCGACACCCCCATGGCAGTAAGTAGCACACTGACATCAAACAGCTCTGGGGCTACTCACCGAATGGCTGAGCCTAAATCTGGAAGCATCCTGGCCCGGCCACTCAGAGAAGCCTGCTGCCTGCTGGGCGGACTCCGAGTCCCCGGCCTTGTCCCCAAGACTGGTGTCTGAGTAGGTGACCTCTGTGGAGCTGGCTTTCCCCTCAGAGGACACGATTTTCACATCAGACTCCTGCTCCCCTTCCTCCTCCAGCTCCCCTCCCATCTCCACCGACTCCTCGTTTTCCATTTCCCATTCGGGCGCCACTTCCCCCTCTTCTCCTTCAGGCACTCCTTCCCCCTCTTCTCCTTCAGGCATGACTTCCTCCTCTTCTCCTTCAGGTGGGACTTCTCCATAGGGCGGGGCTTCCCCCGGGGCGGTGGCCTCCCCCTCAGCAGGCTCTGCAGCATCTGTGGCTCCTACACTGGTCTGGTCTCCGGGGGTCTCCTCCGTGGATGCCTGGGGCTGTGCAGCAGGAAAAAATCAGGAAACAAAATATAAGGGGTCTGGTGAGGTTTTTTCTTGTTTTGTTTTTATTGATTTCAGAGAGGAAGAGCGAGGGAGAGAGAGAGAGAGAGAGAGAGAGAGAGAGAGAGAGAGAGAGAGAAACAGCAATGATGAGAGAGAATCATCGATGGCCTATCTCCTGCATGCCCCTTACTGGGGATGGAACCAGCAACCTGGGCATGTGCCCTTGACTGGGAGTTGAAACTGGGACCCTTCAGTCCGCAGGCCGTGTCTCTAGCCACTGAGCCAGACCCGCCAGGACAAGGTTTTATCCTAAACTGGGGGCCCGGTGCATGAAATTCATGCAGGGGGGGGGGGGGGGGTGTCCCTCAGCCCAGCCTGCCCCCTCTCAGAGACTGGGAGCCCTCAGGGGATGTCCTACTGATGGCTTAGGCCCGCTCCCTGTGTTTTCATCAACACAGACTCCAGTCTCTTTACCATGAAAAAATGACAATTTCCTTTAGGCATTTTCAAGATGCATCTTTCATAGGCTATGACATTTCTTTCTTTCTTTCTTTTTTATCCTCACCTGAGGATATGTTTCCATTGATTTTTAGAGAGTGTGGAAGAGAGAGGGAGAGACAGAGAGAAACATCAATGTGAGAGGGACACTTTGATTGGCTGCCTCCTGCATGAGCCCTGACCTGGGCCTCGGCCAGGGAGGAGCCTGTAACCTAGGCACATGTCCTTGATCAGAATCGAACCCGAACCCTGCGGTCGGCAGGCCGAGGCTCTATCCACTGAGCCACACCGGCTAGGGCAGGATATGACATTTCTGAGCCCCTCCAGCAGCGGACCTTCGTTTTTTCCTCCAGGAGTGAGGTGGAAAAACCCTGGATCACCTTCTTGGATTCTTATTACCCAAGTTACCAAGAACACTGCGAGTGGCAGTGTACAGAGAGCTTAGCCAATGAGCGGTCAGAAAAGGTGTTTATGCTCAAACTGGTGTGGCCCAGTGGGTAGAGCGTCGGCCTGCACACTGAGGGGTCCCGGGTTTGATTCCTGTTAAGGGCACGTACCTGGGTTGGGGGCACCTCCCCAGTGTGGAGTGTGCAGGAGGCAGCTGATCCATGTTTCTCTCTCATCGATGTTTCCGACTGTCTATCCCTCTCCCCTCTTCTCTATAAAAAATCAATAAAACATAATTTTTTAAAAAAGGAAAGGTGTTTCCTCTGCAGCTCATGTGCAGAAAACCCCCTGCGTTGTGTCCACTGGGCTAGGGGCACGTCCCCGCCACTGGGGGGGGGGGGGGGAGCGAACGCCCCCGAGGCGGGCAGCCAGCCCTGCGCATTGTAGGCGCTGGGCTGGGGGACGTGTGGAGACACTGGGCCTTGCGTGCGGCTGCCACCGGGGGCACACCTCCCAGACAGGCAGCCCCGTGTTGTGGGCACCGGGCTGGGGGGCGTGGACCCAGGCCACCACTTGGTGCCGGTGCACGCGCAAGCGGCCACGGGGTGGGAACATCCACTTGGCGCCTGCGCCCGTAGGCCCGGGTTGGCCGGGGGCATTCTGGGACCCCGGCTGCTCAGGGCCTACATGTGGGCCTACAGGCTAGGAGTGACCTGGGTCCTGAGGATGTTCCCGGAACCCAGGCCGCTTGGTGCTTGTGTATGCAAATTAACCTGCCATCTTTGTCAGGTTAATCTGCATACGCACTCCTGATTGGCTGGTGAGCATAGCAGAGGGATGGTCAATTTACACGTTTCTCTTTTATTATATAGGATAGTGTGATGATGCCCATGGAGACATGGCACCCACACTTCTGAGTGTCGCTAGGTTATTGCCTATCTGCACGTGCCCTGGCTTTTGGTAGTGATCACTGCCCTCCGTTAGAGGAAATGAATTCTGAACAACTCGGGGCTCTGAGAGCAAGTCCCCACATTCTTGCCGGACCCCATGAGCCATGGGGGGCAGGGGGCTCTCAGCAGCTGGATGGTTTGCTCTGGGACCAGCGACACTTTCTGGAGCAAGTGCGCCTCCTCTCCCCTGCAGCCCCTGCTGGACACAGACCCAGGCACTGGTCCCGTGGGAACTCACCCCCTCGCCCGCGGGGGTCCCATCCTCCTCTCCTTCAATCGCTGCATCTCCTTCCCTGCGGGCCCTGGTGGTGGAGAAACAGACGAAGAGTCACCGGAGAGCCTGCCTTCCGGGGCGTTCCGCCTCCTGGGGTCCAGCCGCCCATGTGCTTGTTAATGACCAGGTTTGTCACCAACCCCAGCACCAGCGTGCCCAGCACGTGGTGGGAATGCCGCCAGAGTCTCCATGAATGAAGGATGAAAAACGCGATCATTGAAACAGGAAAGGAACCGCACGCGCAGGTTAGGTGAGAAAAGTTACCTTACAGATGCCTGCGTCGGTGACAAAACTGGGGGGTGCAAAGTAAGGGGCCATGGCAGAAAAAGGGTGAGTCCCGCACTCTCTGGGTTGGAGAGCGCGATGTCCTGGGCCACAAGCTTTCTTAAAATGGTTTCGCTTTTTTCTAATTAAAAATGCAAGCGTGGCTCCGCGGGTGAGCTTGGACCCAGGAACCAGGAGGTCACGGTTCAGGGCTGCGGGCGCCATCCCCAGTGTGGGGATCCCCAGTGTGGGGCGTGCAGGAGGCAGCTGATCCATGATTCTCTCTCATCACTAATGTTTCTCTCTCTCTCTCCCTCTTCCTTCCTCTCTGAAACCAATTAAAATATATTTTTAAAAAATTAAAAAATAAAGGAAGTACAGGAGAACGGCCTGGTGGGACGATGGTTAGCAGACCACCATCTATCCGTGCTCAGCGTGTCTGCCCAGGGCTGCCCCACTGCGGGGACCCCCAAGTGAAGCTGGGGTAGGGGTCGGGGTAGGGGCCGCTCTTCCAGCTCCTGGGCCAGGGGCCACCGCAGGGGCAGCACCCGAAGACCATCCCCCACCTGCCCTCTCCCCCCCCAGAGACGCCTGTGCCCCGCTCTGCCCCAGGGGCTCCCATAGTGGTTTCCATGGTTACTGCGGGGCGAGTGGGTCCGGTTGGTGGGAGCACCTGCAGCAGGGGACAGAGGGAGGCTGCGGGAGCAGACAAGGGGGCGGTGAGGAAGGAGAGGGGGTGCGCAGGGGTGGGAGCGCCCGCGGGCGGGATCGGCCCAGAGAGTGGGTGGTGGAGGGGCCGGGGCGGGAGGGGCGGGAGGGGCGGGAGGAGAGGGGCAAGTGCAGAAGAGGTGCCCCGGGGGGAGTGGAAAAGGGGGACCCTGGGGGCCCTCCAAGACCCGCGGTCCCTGGACCCCGCTGACCCGTTGGCCCTGCTGCCAGGCTCCGCCATCTCCCGTTGCTAGGCGACGCCGTCAACATCCGGCGGGCGGGGACTACGCACGCGCTGAGGGCGGAGGGGCGGGCGGCCATTGTGCCATTGATGGCCCTGGAAACAGCCTCAAGGTGTCGATCTGTTAAAGCATAAATCTGGGTTCTCCGTCGCTTTCTCAGGCCCGGCTCCACCCCACCCGCCTCCGTTTCCCTAAATCCACAATCGTGCCAACGTACGCCCAGCCGGGCCGCTCCGGTGCCCCGGGGACCGCGCGGGGCACCGGGGATCCGGTCCGCTAAGTGCCCCACGGGTGGCAGGTGGAGGCGGGGGCGTGAGCAGTCCGGGACCCGCTGCACCTTCAGGGTCCGGGACCCGGGCTGGTGCCGCCCCCCCCTCTGCAGACCTGGGGGCGCGGCGCCCCCTCCGCGGGGTTCCTGGGAGGGGTCCTCCGCGGGGGAGGGAGCCCAGGACCTGCGGCGGGGCCGTTCCCTTCGCACCCCAATCGAAACCACAGAGGCTCAGAGCCGGGGCGAGAGCGAGCGCGCACTTGGGTGCGGGGCGCGGGGCTGGGGAGCGGGGGCCAGAGGGAGAAGGCGACCAGGGAAGTGGCGGGTCAGTGCCAGGTCTGCCCGGGGCCGGGGGCGGGCCTGGGGCGGACTGCGAGCCGGGTTGGGCCGAGGGCGGGGACCGGGTTGGGCCGAGGGCGGGCCGGGGGCCGGGCCTGGTCGCGCGTCCCCGCCCCGCCGCGCCTCACTGGCAGCGGCGGCGGTGGCGGCGGCGGCGGCGGCGGCGGCTCCCGGAGCCAGCACGGATCCGGCCCCCGCTGTGGGACCCGGGTGGGTATCGGGGCCCGGCCTGGGGCTGCGGGGGCGGGTTTGAAGCGCCCGCGGGACACCCGGCGGCGCCCCCTCGGCAGGCGCAGGGTGGGCGCGCGGGGCGCGTGGGCCTGCAGCCGCGGGCCGGGAGTGACCAGGGTCTGGCCGCAGCCTCGATAGGTGCGGGGCCCGGGCGGCGCGCAGGCACTCCGGACCACGCGGGGAGCGTTCTGGGGACCCCCTCTGAGACGGTCGGGGCGCCCCGGGCCTAATTCGGGGAGACTCGGTCCCCATCTGTCTGCAGCCGTGGCCCGGAGAACTTGCGGTCTTTGTCTGGCCGGCTGGTCCGAGCACGCGAATGAGAAGTTGTAGGGGCCTCTCTTCGCCCACACAGACCCCCCCAAAGTGTGCTGTGCCCCACCGCGCGCCCCAGCATTCCTGGGGCCCGGCGGGAGGTCTGGCTCAGAACCGCGTGTCAGGAAACTCACTTCCTTTAGGCGCTCGCTCAGCCCCCTTGTCCTTTACTTTTAAAAAAGAAAGACAGAAAAGAGACTAGAAAAAAGGAGAAAGAGAAAAAGGCGATTTGCTAAATATAACCCGGAACCTCGCCAGGAGCCGTGGATCTTGAAATCCCGTGGCTCCCGCAATCTACTTGGGAAGTAGAACAGGACCCCAACTAGATCGCCGCACCTGGGACACCAGGCTTGTTCGGCTGCCTCCCGCGTCTGCAGGGGGAGGGTCTGCGGCCGAGACCTGCCCTGGGCATCTTTCTTTACCGCCCCCTCCCCCCCAGGCATGCATTGTCCTGTGTGGCCATCCACAGCCACACCATCCAAGTGCGACCAGAGGCCAGTCGGGAGTTCCCTTCCAGGCCTGCCATCCGCTGAGTGGAGAAGTTTTAAAAATCTGTGTGTTCGTCTTAGAAATCCCCCATTAGAAGCATCTGCATGTCGTTGCTTGGCAAGCGTCATACCAGGACAGCTTTTGCAAAGGAAAGGTATCCCCACGCGGATGCCTCTTCACAGCAGCCGAAGTTCATTACCTGTTGGCTGTTGGGTGTTTATGGTAAGCAGGGCCTCAGAATATGGCGAAAGGAAGTTCTCTTGGGTGGAATTGGTAAATCCCCCGGCCATGAGGTGGTTGTGTAAAAAGCTGCTGGTATCCATGCATGAGTTCACTTCACCCACAGAACCAGCCCGGAAACGCAGGGCGGGGGTTGTGCCCACTTCACAGACGGGGACACTGAGGCTTCCCAAGCTCATGCAGCTAGGAGTGACCGGACTCGGGGCCTTGGGTGCGGGAGGCTCCAGCTCCAAAAACCCCCGGCGCCTCCCCTCTTGTAACTGGCCCCCATCATTCACGCGTCCGCCCTCCCTGGCCCCTTGCTCAGATGAGACAGCGGGGTTCACTCTGCCAGGTGGTTCATTAGAATGCAAGGGACTGGGGACCAATCCCATGTCACCCTTAGGGGCCGTTCACTGGAGAGAGAGCCTGGGGTTCGCACAACCCGCCCCCACCCGCGCTGGCCTCTGCTGGGGTCTGGGCGTGCGTGCTGTGGTTACGAGCGCGGGCCCCCAAAGCAGACTGCTGGGTTCGGCAGCAGCCCCGTGCACGGAGCTGACAGCTCCTTGGGCCTTCATTCCTCTGTCTGTGAAGTGGATAATACCACCTGCCTCGGAGGCCTATTGCAAGGATTATCTAGTACCTGGCGGGTGCTAAGGGCTTGTTGCTATTTATTATTATTGTTGTTGTTATTATTATTGTTGTTGTTATTATTGTTGTTGTTATTATTATTGTTGTTGTTGTTATTATTGTTGTTATTATTATTGTTGTTGTTATTATTATTGTTGTTGTTGTTATTATTATGAATGGCCATTTCTTGGATTTTTCACTGGTAACTGGATGGGCAGAAACATGTTGGTTTTGCTGTTTGATGCTTTGTACTGCAGTCCCTCGGGTGGAATTCACCATTTAGGGTTATTTACACTCATCTTTGTAACTTGGGGGGGGTGAGGGGGGTGATCCCTGCTGGCTGTTCCAGGAAGGGGGCAAACAGGTTGCCTGGCAACACAAATCTTCAACCCAGATTTCACCTCGTTCTGCCCCACCCCCGCTGAGAGACCCAGATCTTGTTCACCAGCCTGAACCCTCTTCTGTGAGATTAGTGCTCAGTTCCCCGTAAGGCTGGGGGTGGGGGGTGGGGAGGGGGGGGCTGGCAGCGGAGGCGGCTCTATTGGTCCTCATTGTTCCCGGTCCCGCGGTCCCAGCAGTCACCTTGCTGCATTCCCGTGGCTTCATTGTAACACTGATTAGACACTGTGGGAACTTAACTCTTGTTTAAATCAGTAGCCTCCGGTAAAATGAGTTTCGTTACCGGCCATTTCTCTTAAAGCCGCAGAACGTAGCTGTATGTTTCGTGGGGACTTACTGCATTCGTAGTCTGCACTCCCCCCACACCCCCCCCCCCAAACCCAGGGAAATGTGCAGGAAATCTCTCCCCATATATATCAGTGATGTCAGAGAGGAAGGGAGAGGGAGCAGAAGCATCAGTCATGAGAGAGTCATGGACCGGCTGCCTCCTGCACGCCCCCCACGGGGGATGGAGCCCACAACCCGGGCCTGCGCCCTGACCCGGAATGGAACCGGGACCTCCTGGTTCTTAGGTTGACGCTCAACCGCTGAGCCACGCCGGCTGCCGGGCCAGTGGTGGTTTTTTCATGCTCTTGGCCACCTGAGCGACCTTTGGTCACGCGGTCTTGCATCTCTAACACACCCACCGGTGAGCTGCCTGGTAGCTGACATCAGTGTGACGCGCGGCCTCTGTAGGCACCGTGAGTGAGAGGAGGGGCGGCCGGCGGCCGACTCCAGGGTCTGAGCGCAGAAGCGGAGTGGAAGGGACAGCGCGAGGGAACAAGCGGAAGACACCCCCCCCCCCCCACACCCGTTGTGCCTTCGCTTCGAGCGTCAGGGGGCGAGGCCGCCCAGGTGTCTAAAGGGATGTATGGTCCCTGGTCGGCATGGCTTGGCTGGTTGGACCGTCGTCCCGGACACCAAAGGTGGCGGCTTTAATTTCCGGTCAGGGCATATACCCAGTTTCGGGTTCCATCCCCAGTCAGGGCACCTCAGGAGGCAAGCAATCGATGTTTCTCTCTCTCCCTTCCTCTCTTTATTTTTTAAAAAATATATTTTTGTTTATTTCAGAGAGGAAGGGAGAGGGAGATAGAAACATCCATGATGAGAGAGAATCATGGATCCGCTGCCTCCTGCACGCCCCCCACGGGGGAGCGAGCCCACAACCCGGGCCTGTGCCCGGACCGGAAGTGAACCGTGGCCTCCTGGTTCCTAGGTGGACGCCCAACCACCGAGCACACCGTCCGGCCTCCCTTCCCCTCTTTAAAATCAGTTTTTAAAAAATGACACAGTGCAGGGGGGTGGGAGCGATCTGATTGGCCGCCCGCTGCAGACGCGGGGGCGGGGCTGTCTTCGCCGGGCTCTGCCGGGATGGGCCGCGGTCCAGGCACGTGCCCTGGGTGTGCCCGAGCTTGCACACTTTTCCACACTTTGCGACCCTGAATTCAGTGGTCGGATAATAGTCCCCAGAGACCACGGTGCCCGTGCCTGGTCCCGGGAAGCGAGAGGGAGCTGGGCCTCCCGGGCTGCGTTGGCAGCAGGTGCTGTGGGCGGGCCGGGTCCTGTTTGCGTGCCCCTGGCTCGTGTTTAATGTGGCATCACCTTATCCGCTTTGTTGATTGGCCTTGGAGGGCAAAGCAGATGAACCGGTTCCTGCCGGCCACATGCCTGACGCGACAGGCCAGGGGAATGTCACCTGTGGGCTTCCCACCACACGCCCCCGAGTGTCCAGTGCCCCCCCCGCCCCCCGGCAGCCGGCGGGATGAGTGGGCGGCGTCTCTCGTGTGGGTGGGAGCTGCCGGCTCCACGCGGGGCCGGGACCACGTCTGTCCTCTGACCCCGGCGTCCCAGCTCCTGACCCGGCGGCCGAGGCAGGGCGCGGCCCAGAGAAGTCGGGGCTCCCGCGGCCGGGGCTGCCCTGACTCCGCTCCCCCTGGGAAGGCTCCGGAAGAGACCGTGGCCTTAGCGCCTGTCTGTCTCCTGCTGGGAGCTTATGGGCTCCTTCTTCCAGGACAGGAAACCGGCCGGGCGGAGGGCTGCCAGGACCAGCTGTGCGGGGAGCCAGCTCTCCCGCCCCGCGGCTGCTCCCACGGTCCATCGGTCTGGGCCAGGCTGGGCCCTCCTGGTCCCGAGCGGGGCCTCGCCACATGCTCAGGGGCTGGGGCGGCGGCTGGCGTGGGCTCTGCCGGCCAGTGGCGGGGAGAACGGAAACCTCCCCGAGTGACAGCCCACGCTGCCCACGGCCACGGCCACGACCACGCTGCCCACGGTCACGGTCACGCCCACGCACTCCCCCCGGACCGGGCTGGGCGGGTTACATGGCGGAGGGTTACAGTTGCGGGTGGAATTGAGGTTCGCGCACTGAGCTGGAGCTGGAGAGGCGCGGAGGGGACGAGGGCAGGAGTGACGGGGGGGGGGGGGGGGGGGCGGGTGTGGGTGCTGCGGGCCGGTCGAGGGCGGGAGAGCAGGCTGACCCGGGGCCCCCGGGGGAGCTTCCTGTGGATGGGCGCCCCCACCTCGCGCAGGGGCCTCGGGCGGCCCTCTGGTCCCAGACCCGGGGGTGTGACCTCGTGCTGGGTCCGCGCTGAGCTGGCGGCCGCAGGACCCGGTGCGCGGGGAGGGGCGTTCTCGTTCTCGGGGCGCGCTTTCCTAGCGGCCGATCCTCTGGCTCTTCGAGGCCGTGCCCTGTCCAGGGGGTTCTCTCCTCCGTGTCAACGCCAAGCCTTGGGGGCCGGGCTTAGGTAGTGGATGTCGGGGCCTCACACCCACATGCAAAGCCTCGGCTGCTTCCCGCCGAGCCGAGTGGTGGAGGGACGCGTGAGGCGACAGCAGCCCCGCAGCCCCCCGGCTCCCACCCGCTCTCCTCTCGGGCTCCACCCGCCTCCCGACCCCTCCCCGGGCCCACAGGCTCAGCACGTGGCCGAGAACCCGTGAGCGGAGAGGGTCCCCCGGTGGGGAGTCTGCAGAGAGGGAGCTTCGGGGCCGTGTGTGTGTGCGTGCGCGCGCACACGTGTGTGCATGTGTGTGTGTGCGCGCGCGCACGTGTGTGCATGTGTGTGAGTGTGTGTGCGCGCACGCATGTGTGCACGTGCGTGTGTGTGTGTGTGTGTGTGAGTGTGTGTTCCGAGAGGAGGCCCAGCTGCGCCCTCCTTGCTATTGCACAACAGCCTGCTGTGCGGACCGCCCTGCCTGCTGCTCACGGCTGCCCAGGGCTCAGCTGGACGCCACTGCCCTCCGTGGCTCTGAACCTGCAGGGCACTGTTCCTTTATGCCTTTAAACAGTATATGTGTTTATTGGCTTCAGAGAGGAAGGGAGAGGGAGAGAGAGAAACGTCAATGATGAGAGGGAATCACTGATCGGCTGCCTCCTGCACGCCCCCCACCGGGGACAGAGCCCGCAACCTGCGCCTGTGCCCTGACCGGGAATCCAACCGTGACCTCCTGGTTCATAGGTCGACGCTCAACCACGGAGCTTTATACCTTTTAAATCATTACCTGCTTGTCGTGGGTTTGCACACCCCCGCCCGTGCCCCTCCTCTGCGCCAACGGGGCTGGCATTGTTATTCTTTCCGCCAACAGAGACAGGCCTTTGTCTTGACTGCAGGTGGCGTTCTGGGGGCACATCACAAGGGAGCTTGAGAGGCAGCTCATTCTGGGGGTGATTTTTGAAGCCCTTCTCTTCACACTCAGGCGACTCCAATGTACAGACAGGTTTGGGGGCTGGAGAGAGAGAGGGAGAGAGGGAGAGAGAGAGAGAGAGAGAAAGAGAGAGATGCCTTAGATTCAGACACTTATGTTCTGAAATCAGCGATGCTGGGACAGCACAGCCATTTTACAATGAAAACATGAAGTGGCAACCCTGGCTGGTGTGGCTCAGTGGGTACAGATTCGATTCCTGCTCAGGGCACAGGCCCAGGTTGCAGGCTCTGTCCCCGGTGGGAGGCGTGCAGGAGGCAGCTGATCCATGATTCCCTCTCATCATTGACGTTTCTATCTCTCCCCTTCTCCCTTTCTGAAGTCAATAAAAATGCATTTAAAAAAATACATATACCAGATACATTTAAAAACATTAAGCGAACACATTGGAGGCGAGTGCGTGGTCATGGCTGTCACTCTCGGGGGGGGGGGGGGGGAGGGGACTGTTACATGTTACAAAGCGCTCTGAGCACCCCCAGCTGCTATTTTGATTTCAGTTGATTCTGTGGCAAGGGGTGGGGGTGGCAGGTCGGCTTGCTGGCTGCGGGCGTCCCGGCCCCCCTGGAGCGATTGCTGATTGTGTGTCTTAAGGTCGTAGCTGGCGGCTTTAAAGGTGGTACAAGACGTGCCCTTCCCCCTACTCTGCTCCTGTGTGAGGAGAAGGAAGACCCAGCCGGGAGGGGCCTGCTGTTGAACTTGCTCTGCGTTCGGTGCCTGGGCGCACAGCTTTCTGGTCTATCGGGTGGGGATGTGTATCCTTGCTCCTGCCGACCCATAGGATCCCTGGTCCCTAAGGTCGGAAACCGCTCGGCTGGGGGCGAGCGAGAGCCACTCAAGGTGGATTCAAGGACAGCAGGGAGACCTCCCGTCAGGCTGCAGGCTTTGCTGGGCCGCACCGCCTGGCAGCTGCCCTCCGGCGCCCTCACCCACCTCCAGCTCCCTGCCCACTTCCCGCTGTCCATCCTCAGGAGTCCAGCCTCGTTGGCCTTTTTGGGTGCAAGCTTCCTGCTCTTTTTTTTCTTTTTTTTTTAAATTTATTTTTATTGATTTCAAAGAGGAAGAGAGAGAGAGAGAAACATCAATGATGAGAGAGAATCATGGAACTGCTGCCTCCTGCATGCCCCCTACTGGGGATGTGCCCTAACTGGGAATCGAACCGTGACCTCCTGGTTCATAGGTCGATGCTCAACCCCTGTGCCACACCGGCCTGCTGGGCAAGCTTCCTGGTCTTAACCCTCAAGGGCAGGGCTCTCTCCGCCACCCCTCCGTGGAGGCAGGCATGCCTGCAGAGGGGCGGGGAAAGGCAAGGTGCCTGCAGCTGTAGCAGCCACTGGGGGAGGGGGGAGTGAGTCAGGGAGGTGGGGTATCAGAAGTGGGGGTGCGGTGCCAGGTGCAGGCCCTCCTCATTCCTCATTTCCTCATCCTTGTCCACCACCCTCACCCCTCCCCTGGCCTCCCCGCCTCCGGGCCGCCTTCCTCTCTGCTGGTCAGACTCCAGTTACCACGGAGGCCTTTCCAGGTTCGCGTTGAATGAGGACTTTGGGAATAGCAGAAGTGTTCATTGAAGAGTGAGATGATAACATAGAAGCCAAGGATGGCGGCTCTTTGGTTCGGGAAGGTGATATATAAAGTGCAAAAGAAACTTAGGGAAAGTTACCATCAGTTTGACCTCAGAGAATTTTAAGTTCCTCAAATAGATGATACATGTAAAGGGCAAACAACGATTAAGGCGACACCTGCAGCTGCCGCAGCAGAGGGTCAAGGTCTTTGCTATATAAAGAGTTCTCACAGATCAACAACACGCCAGCGCCCCAGCAACAACACAGGCAGGCACAGCAGCCAGCAGGTCCCAGCACGGACTCGTGTCTGACACACGCAGGACACCCTCTTCAAGTGAATGGGTCATCAGAAAACCGCTTTCTGTGATCAGATGGGCACAGATCCACACCTCTGGCCAGGCCGGTGCCTTCCGGAACCCGCTGGGTGCTGTGCACAGGGCCGGTCGATCCTCACTGTTGTTTGCTTTGTAGGAAAGGCCCGGAAGGGAGGAGGAAGAACACAGGCGTTTCTGGATTGTGTGATTTCAGGGATGTGGGGTCGTTTTTATACTTCTGAGCACATTTCATAACTTTTTGAAAAATAGCTTTAAAAATTAGGTCCAGGAATCTCCACTTCTGAAGAGACCCGGGGCTGGGAACCAGGTTCAATTTAATGGAACAAGCTCCCCAGCAAACAAGTGCATTTAAACCATAGGTGAGGCCCGGCCGGTGTGGCTCAGTGGTTGAGCTTTGACCCGGGAAGCAGAAGGTCACGGTTCCATTCCAGGTCAGAGCACATGCCTGGGTTTCGGGCTCCATCCCCAGTAGGGGGCGTGCAGGAGGCAGCCGATCCATGAGTCTCTCTCATCATTGATGTTTCTATCTCTCTCTCACTCCTTCTCCCTTCCTCTCTGAAATCAACACGTTTAAAACACACACACAAAAGAAATAAACAAATAGGTGAGAATTGTATATCCAAGGCTGACTTCCTCAGGCGCAGTCTCCCCAGGACCCCCCACCCCCACCCCCCACCCCCCCACTCCCAGGGCTGGAGCCGGGCGGGCAGGGCTGTCCTGCTGCCCAGGTGGTGGGGGTGGGGCAGGGGCTGGAACTGGCTCTGGGAGGACAAAGGTCTGCCCAGGGCCCTCCCCTTACTCAGTGGCCGACTTGGCGGGGTGGCAGGTGGGGTGGCAGGTGGCTACGGGACGCAGTGTGGCGATCGCACTGTAAGGTACACAGATGCTGGTCACCAGGTCACACACCCGGACCTCATAGGCCAGGGATGCCACGTGCCCTGCAGTAAAATCAAATAAGAACAGATGGGCAGACCCCGCGGCCTGGAGTCGCCAGGGAGGCTCCCGGGAGGTGGGCCTGGGGGGAGGTGGGGGAGGAGTGGCCCTGCCCAGGTGTCCAGCGAGTGGCTAAGCCGGGGGGGGGGGGGCAGGTGTCCCACCCAGGGGACATTTGCACATTTGCGATGTCTGGAGACATTTCCGGTTGTGCTGCTCGGTGAGGAGGGGCATGGGGTGGGGGGGCAAGGATGTGCTCCATCCTGCAGGGCCCAGGCTGGCCCAGCCCCAGCGGCAGTGCCGGGCGGAGACCCGCTGCCTGGCCTGGGCTGCCAGGACCCGCTCAGGAGTGAAGCAGCATCCGTTTGGGGCTGGCAGGCATGAGGCAGGCCGCAGCCCAGGGACACCTGCCGGGTGCGGGACCTTGACCCCATGCATCTCCCCCCCAGGTAGGTGTGGACGCGCCCGCCGGGGCTCCCGTGAGCGGAGGATGGGAACACCCCCCGGCCATGTCTCTGGGCCGCCTCCTCCGCCGGGCCTCCTCCAGAGCCTCGGACCTCCTGACCCTCGCCCCGGGGGCCGGCGGGCCCCCCTCCATCCTGGACGGGGAGATCATCTACTCCAAGAACAACGTGTGTGTGCACCCGCCCGAGGGGCTGCAGGGGCTGGGGGAGCACCACCCAGGTGAGCGAGAGGAGGGGGGGAGGGGAGAGGGGGCGGGGTCCAGGCCTGGAGGGAGGTTTCAGAGGCTCCGGTGTCACTTCCCCACTTGTCCTCACCGTCACCCTGTGGTCACCTGCCCAGTGATGGGACAGTTGTGTTGGGGGCGGGGTGGTCTGGGACCAGGTCTGAGGGGGCGTGTGTTCTGGGTGTCAAACAAGCGCCAGCACAGCACGGCCTGGAAAGGCTGTGGCTGAGTCCTGCTGCGATGGAAGGCGGGGCAGGAGGGGCAGGGGTCTGGGCGCTCCTCCCAGTCCCAGAGCCACGTGACTGGGTGTGGGAACACTTGGTCCCCATGCACAGCTGGCCGGTCGCCCCGGCTCTCGAACGGGAGCCGTGTGTGGGGCAGAGCCCTGAGGCGTGTGCAGGCCCAGCTCCCACCCTGGATGACCTCTCAGAACAGGGGCTGGGGGGCTGGGGGTGCCGGGGGCCTGTGCAATAGGCCCGGGAATCACGACACCTTGAAATGGCAGGTGCTGCCGTGGGAAATGCCACCGTCCCCCCAAACTAAGGGTGCAGGAGCCCAGAGAGCCCGCCCACCCGCTGCCGGCCTCCAAGACTGCCCTCTGCCAGCCACCAGCGGGCCATGGAGAGGTGGCCCCTCTCCCAGAAGCTGCATTAAAGAGAAACATGCCCGCCCTGCGTGGCTTAGGGGCTGAGCGTCAGCCTGTGAACCAGGAGGTCACGGGCCGATTCCCGGTCAGGGCCCAGGCTCGGGCTGTGGGCTCCATCCCCAGTCGGGGCGTGCAGGAGGCAGTGGATCCAAGATTCTCTCTCATCATCGATGTTTCTCTCTCCCTCTCCCTGCCTCTCTGAAATCAATAAGAACATATTTTTTTAAAAAAGAAAAATGTGCTGAGAGGGCGGTGGCCAACTGAACGAGACCCGTAGGGCAGCCACCATCTGGAGTTCATCCCCGTGGGAAAGTCTTTGTCCTGCGTCCTTCCCCACGGGCTGTGACGCTGGGAGGGGCCTCCTGGCTGCTGGACGGGGGCGCTGACCAGCCCCAGGCAGGAAAGCTCTGGGCTCCAGGCCTGAGGTGGACCCCAGGTGGACAGGGTGGGGCTCTGGACGCGAGGAGGGCTCGGGGAGGAAAGCACACGACAGGCCGCTGCTGGGGCGGTGCGGCTGGTCCTCGCCTGGGCACTTAGCAACCCCCGCAGCTGTCACTCATCCCAGGCCCGACTGTCCCCAGGCTCCCCAGTCCTCACTCATCCCAGGCCCGACTGTCCCCAGGCTCCCCAGTCCTCACTCATCCCAGGCCCGACTGTCCCCAGGCTCCCCAGTCCTCACTCATCTCAGGCCCGACTGTCCCCAGGCTCCCCAGTCCTCAGGGCCCTGGGTGTGACCGGCAGGGTGTGGCCTCTGTGTGCACGGCCCTCCCTCACCGCTGTCCCCTCCCCCACAGGCTACCTGTGCTTGTACATGGAGAAGGATGAGCTGCTGGGGGCCACCCTCATCCTCGCCTGGGTCCCCAACTCCCGGATCCAGCGGCAGGACGAGGAGGCGCTGCGCTACATCACCCCCGAGGGCTCCCCCGTGCACAAGGCACCCCGTCCGCGGGCCCGGCGCACCCAGAGCTCGGGCGCTCCCTGCCGGGCCTCCCCCACGGAGCCAAGGCCCCCCCTGACCCCCCAAGACGAGGACATCCTGGTGGTGGCCCAGGGCCTCCGGGGCACCCTGCACATCAGCCCTTCGCCCGAGGACGGGGAGAAGCTGGCCCAGGGCCTGGGGATGGACGGCACCGTCCCGGCCTCGCAGCCGGCCCACAGCGACTCGGGGATCCTGTCCGCGGTCAGTTCGCAGGACGGGACCGAGGAGGGGCGGGAGCTGCGGCCCGAGGCAGGCGAGGAGGAGGGCTCCACGGAGCTGTCGGCCGAGGGTGTGAGCAGGGACAGCTCCTTCGACTCAGACTCGGAGGCCTTCTCCTCCCCCTTCTGCCTGTCGCCCGTGAGCGCCGCCCTGGTGGACAGCAGCGGCTCCGTGTTCCTGGAGGGCGAGAGCAGGTGAGTTTTGGGGGCTGGGGCTGGGCTGTCCCACCGGCCACACTGGGGACCGTGGGGTGTGTCGCCAGCTCTGCTTGGAGCGCTGAGGACAGAGCCTGCGCCCTGTCCTGTTCCTGCTGCAGCGGTCAGCTGTCCCCCTGCGGGGGCTGCGGCACCCATCTGCCCACGGAGGGGATTATGCCTATGGTAGGCCTGATGGGGGGTGGTTGTCATGGCAACCATGCAGCATCCTTGGGGTGCTCAGGGCCCCACAGAGGTGGGCGCGCACAAGGCTTGTGCAAACCCAGCTGGGCCGGGGCCACCCCTGGCCAGAGGCCACCCAGCCAGTCCCCTGGCCAAGCTGGATGGGAGCCCAGCTGGGTCCACACCAGACTTGGGGTCACTCGGGACCTAGTGAGCCCGGCAGCCAAGGAGCAGGTGCAGGGACGCAGAACGCTATGCGGCCTCAGCGGGAAGGAATTTGCAATTCTTTCTGATATCAGGCCCTCGATAACTTGTGCTCCATTAAAGCCCGAGGGTGCACGGAAAACATTTTCCACGTTCGTGGGGGGGTGGGGGTGGGGGTGTTCATATCAAAGGGGCAGCCAGCTGTGGCCCAGGCCCCGGACCCAGGAGGCGCGCTGAGCGGTGAAGTGATTCCACCCGAGAACCAGGCTGGGAATGAAGCGCAAGCCCCGGCCTGGGGCCTGCGGCGGGCCTCGGAGCGCCCCCTGGTGGTGCCACGCGGCAGCGCAGCCATACCTGCCGGCTGGGGGGACAGGTGTCTGAGCTTTTGTCTTCACTGTGCTTAGAGAGGTGGCAGGCCTGGTGGACAGACCATGATGGATGACCAGTGGTGGATGGTCCCGTGGCCGCGGTCTCAGTGGCTGATGGCCCCGTGGCTGCGGTCTCAGTGGCAGGATGAGAACGGGGACCGGGCCTGCTCAGCTGCCTGGTTCCTTAGGCGCTTGGGTTTGGGAATCCGCGGATGTTGTTGGGAATCCGTTTCCTCATTCGCGAGGTGGAGTCGTAATCTTCGTCTGTGGGTTCCCCTGAGAATTCACTGCTGGCCCCTCTTCCCTCTCGTCCTGGGTGCTCCTCCAGCCCGGCCCCGTGAGTCCCCCCGACCTCTTCCATCCAGTCCCCATGCCCGGCTGTTCCCAGCAGATTCTCACCCGGGCAATTCTGCCCCAGGGGGCGGTGACAACTGCAGGAGACATTTGTCACCACAGTAGGTGGAGGCCAGGGGTGCTGTGAGCACCCACAGTGCACAGGGCTCCCCACGACAGCGATCTGCTCCCCACGTCGGACATGCAGGGCCCGGAGCTCCCTGGAGGTCCTGGTTGCCTCGGACAGACTCGGGGCCCTAGAGTTGGGAACTCGTTTTCTTCTTTTTTAATGTTTAAATGTGAATTTATTGATTTTAGAGAGAGCAACATCGATTTGTTGTTCACTCACTTATGCATCCCTGGGCTGACTCCTGTGTGTGCCCTGAGTGGGGATCCAACCACCTGAGCTCCCAGCCTGGGTGTGTGTGCATGTGTGCGTGCGTGCGTGTCTCTGTCTGTGTGTGCACGTGTGTGTGCGCACGCATGTGTGTGTGTGTGTGTTTTGTCCTAAAATGCACCTAACACACTTGCTGACGTGCCCATTTTCAACTACAAGTCAGGGCCATTCCGTGTTTTGCACCATCACCTCTGTCCAGTTCCAGAACTTTCTCATCGCCCCCAAAGGAAGCCCTGCCCCAACTCGCAGCCACCCCCGGCCGCCCCAGCCCCAGCCCCTGCCCCCACTGGGCTGCTTCCTGCCTCCTCCGATGCCCCTGTGTCAGAAGTGGGACCAGGCAGGGTGGCCTCTGTGTCCGGCTTGCACCGTCCTCAAGGCCCAGCCCGCGGGAGCAGCGTCAGGCCTCCTTCCCTGGCCGCCCGGTGCCCAGGTGGCTCCGCTGCAGCCGGAGCGGACACCGCCCTGTGCTGTCTGCAGACTCCCTGATGCAGAACCGCCCCGCCTCCCCCCCCCCCCCCCCCCCCGTTTATGTCCCCGTCATCTCTCCGCTCAGAGCTTAGCCCCTGCGCTGGGCTCCGGGAGGTGGGGGTCCTGGGCATGCACAGACTACCTTGTCCGGGAGGCACCCCGGAGCCCCCTGTGGCTGGGCTTTGGGCCAGTTCAGCACCAGATCCCAGGATCCTGACCCAGCGGTTCGATTCCCGGTCAGGGCACACGGTCTGGTTACAGGGGTCCCCTGTGGGGGGCGTTCAGGAGGCAGCGGATCCATGATTCTCGTCATTGATGTTTCCGTCTCCCTCTCCCTCTCCCTTCCTCTCTGAAATCAATACAAATATATATTTTTAAAATGTAGATCTGGGTTCTGAGCGGGGCTGGGGTGGGGCCTGGAATTTGTAGTCTTTCCGCGGGTGATTTTCGTGGGAGCCAGACTTGGGCATTGGGTGACCCCCCACCCTTTCTGCTCCCTCTGATCGCCCGCAGCGCCCACACGGTGCTGGGACTGGAAACCCCGGACTAAATGGCCAGTGTACTGGCCACCGTAGGACAGACATCCCTACCCCCCGCGCCCGGGCAGCTTGTAAACCCCATGCCCAGACTGCACCCCGCATCCGGCCCATGGAGCCAGGATCGGTGGGGGCAGGGCCCCGGGAAGGGCAGTGTCCGAGCCCCAGGGTTCCCGGTGTGCAGAGGGGTGAGAACCATGCCGGGAGGGGCCACAGGGAGGGGCGTGGTCCCTGCTCCCCCAGCGGAGAGGGCGCTGGGCCCAGGCCCCGGAGCACAGGCATCCGGTTGGACCAGACGCCCCTCAGGGGGCTTGGCTTTGCGGACACGTGTGCACCCAGAGCTGCTCCCTGAAGGAAGGCTCCTGATTTAACTGGGAATTGCGTCCCCCAGCGGGGAGGGCAGGCTGGCTCACGGGGTCCCTCTGGTGGCAGAACCGCGGAACTGCACGTGGAGGCTGAGCGAGTGGCTGGGGACGGGCCGGGAGGAGGAACAGCGCCCCCATCGGAGAGCCCCGGACATTGTGTTCCGTGGCAGGTGGATCACAGAGGGCCTCCCCCATTCCGGTGCCGCCCGCGGGGGGAGCCGGCAGGGCCTGGTCTTAGATGGCGAGGCCGCCGGACGTACCAGCCCCAGCACAGTGAGGCCAGGAGGCCTTGACCCCGTGAGCCTCCAAGGCCCAAGGCTCATCGCGGACCCTGCCCCCGGGTCCCAGCTCTGCCGGCAGGACTGGCTTCTGTGCTCCTCCCACCGCGCCTTCCTGGTCAGAGATCGAGGCTTGGCTTGGGGGGCGGTGAGTGTGGCACCCCCCCCGCCCCCCTCCCGCAAGATCATCTGTTTTTGTCCCGAAAGGCACCCGGCGCACCTCAAGGGCCCGCTGGGCGAGGATGTAGTACAGCGGGACCCCACCCCACAGGTCGACCCCCGTGTGGATCCCCCCTGGCGTGTCCGCAGGCCCCCGTGGGAAGTGCGTTGCCCTGTTATAAACTGACACGCAGCTCCTCCCCCAAAAGCAGAGGGCCTCCTGGAACTCCTGCTGAGACGTGATCCATGACAGAAGCCAGACGCCCTTGCGTGAGGATGTCCCTCCCGGGGTCTGCATGATGGAGGGAACAGACCTAACGCCCGCGGCGGCTCAGGGGCTGAGCGTCGGCCTAGGAACCAGGAGGTCAGGGTTCGACTCCCGGTCAGGGCACAGGCCCGGCTTGTGGGCTCCATCCCCAGAGTGGGGCCTGCAGGAGGCAGCCGGTCCATGATCCTCTCTCATCATGGATGTTTCTCTCTCCCTCTCCCTTCCTCTCTGAAATCAATGAAAAATGTATGTATATAAAAAGAAGCCCGTAACAGAAGAGGACATACACCCAGTTCAGTCCCTCTCTCAGATCAGGGTTTTAACGGCCGTGTGCCCGAATCGCATGCCACCTTTGGCATGGGGGCTCCTGGCGTGCATTTTCCTGAGGAGGGCGCACCATCGACTACCCAAGGGCCTGTGACCCGAAGGTCAGTGCTGCCAGGGGGGCGAGTGTACAGCTCCACGATTCACGCTGTGTCAGAAACAGCAGGCGGGTTACACGCATGTTCTTTAAATACGTCTTTAAGTCGACGCTCGACCACTGAGCCACGCCGGCCGGCCCACATTCTACTGAAATCTGTGTGAGGCCTGACGCGGGGCAGCCCTGCCCAGGGAGCTCTGCCGTCCAATGTGCAGCCTCGGGCTTCGTGCCGCGGGCGCCCCAACCAGCGAGACCGAGACGCGGGTCTCTGGTTTCCCAGGAGATCGGTGAACACGAGGCAAACCGCCGCCGGACGCGGTACGGGCGGCACCGGGTGAGGGAAATGCGCCAGGAGCAAGGATCACGTGACTCGGTGATTTTTTTTTTTCCTTTCTTGGTTTTCAAAAAACGTTCGCCTGTCGTGCTGTGAATCTCACAGGGAAACGCGTGTTAAAATAGCCGGTCGTCCCTGCGCGCACCGCCTGCTCCCCGCTTGTTAATGAAAGAGCCCCCGGGGCATGTGATGCTAATGACCTGCCAGCACTTGTCACCGCGTCCCCCAGGGCAGACGAGCCTCCTCTCGCTCCCAGGCCCTCGCACCCTGCCCAGGGGTCCCCGCAGGCTGGCTGGGCTTCTGCAGCCGAGGGGAGAGAGCGCCCCACGGAGGGAGCAGGGAGCGAGGCTGGGAACCACGGGGCGGGGAAGGGCGAGCGGGCAGGCTCCCAGGCGGGCGGGCATCCAGCAGGACCCGAGGGCAGGTGGGCGGTGCCCTGCAGCCGCCCCTGGCTCTCCTGGGCCCGCGTCTGAGCTGCGGAGGGGGCGGGGGGGGGGGCGCACCCGTGAGACACCCTCCGTGACAAGGCCGCCCAGCCGCTCCCGAACCCGCACGCCACCCCCTGCTGTGCCCGCCGCCCTGAGCCACGTGGACTGCGCTTCCCACCCAGCAGCCTCTTCAGCTTCTGGGGGCTCCTGGCTGCATCCCTTCAATCTCAGCCTCTGCTTCCCGTGGCCCCTCCCCCG